AGCGCGGGGCAGCGCAGCGCAGCGCGGGGCAGGGCGGACACCGCCGCCGCCTGAGCGCAGAGCGGGGAAGCGGCCGCGCGCACCGGGCGCGCACGAAACCGCGCCTGGGAGCGGGGCCGGCGGGGAGGGGGGCGCGTAGCGATTTCTGCCGAAAGCCTAAAGTTGTCCTTTTTTTTCATATATGTATATATTAATTTTGCTGCTCGGGCTGGCAGCCCGCCGGAGGTGTCCGCGGGTGCGCCCGAGGCCAAGGGCAAGCGGCGTGTGGCGGGGGAGGGAAGCGGCCCCGTCCGTGGCTCTTGTTGCCCATGGCCGCGGCGGAGGGATGCGCGGGGATGCGGCGCCCCTGGACGCTGCGGGGTGCCTGCGGGCTCCCCTCTCCCAGCCCAGCAGCTCTACCCGCGCTCCCGTCCCCAAGGCAGGGCTTTACAGATGAGCTGATGGGGGGAAAGAAGGTCCCTTCGGGTTGCGCTGGCTGCGAGGTCTGCAAGCGGTGGGCTCGGCTTAGCCTCGTGGGCTCGGCTTAACCTCCGCCGCGGGGAGCGTGTCCCGCCTGTGGGGATGGGGAGGACGGCTTGCGTGCTGTTGTTGACGAAGCTTAGTTTGGCAGCCTCGTAAAGGAAAGCGGTACCAAGCGTGGTGGTAGTTTTAAAATGCTGTTTCTTGTTAAAAATACCAAATACGAGTGGTTTGGAACTGGAAAGTAATAAATAAATTACTGCTGCTTCTTAGGAGTAGGAGTGCCCTCGGGTTTTGTGTGGAGTGAGTTTGTTGCTATTCAGTCTGTATGAAAAAAATAGGTTTGTCTCTGTTATCTTAACTCTACCACATCTGTCCTAGCCGTGGGTAAGCAGGGACCCAAACAGTGTGGGTAGTACCTGCATAAATACCGCCTCGATCATATATATTTCAGCACAAGTTGAATATTCGGAGCAGCTTCCAACTGACAGCAGGCTGGCTGAGCTTGCATGATCGTGTCCGAAGGAACGGCTGCTGTTGCTCGTTGCTGACTGATTTAGGAAATAATCTACTTGTAAGTGTGAGTCCAGGGTGTGTGAGCAGCCGGTGGGCGCGCTGAGCAGGAATCCTCTTAGGTGTGAACCAGTAAAAGCAGGGAATAGTGTCTGAGATAAGGAGAGCCTGGATACAATAGTTATTGAGTGGGTAGGCAAGAATCGGTGTTGTAAGGAGCACGTAATTGAAAAGCTATCACATTATTCAAGACTTAAAATACTGTATGTAGGGCAATACCAGGATATGAGAACCCAAAGCCTGGGTATTGACTGGGAGAAGTTTATTTGCAGAAATATTAAATAAAAACAGTAACAGTCAGATGGAAGATGCACCTATCAAAGCCATCTCAGTGAAAGAAATGAGAAAAGGAAATGTTAAGATAAAGAAGATATGGGTCTCCAGCAATTATGAACATGAGTAGCATATAAAATTGAGACAGACTTCTGTCGCAAGAAGCATATAGCTGGAATTAAGTTTTAAATGAAGGTTAATTAGGGTTGAACACTTCTATTGCATCTATTGCTATGATATTTCTCTTTTAGTTTTTATATTAAGAATTCAGATCTATTCAGTCATAAGCAAAAAGCAAAATTTACAGTGGAGTTCCTTGCTTATGTTGATTGCAGTGTTCTGTGCAGTGTTTAAAAGTGTTTGTCTTGTGCTTCTTGGTGAAGTGCCACAACAGTTGTTGTATTGAAAATGTCATAACCTGGATAACCTCTGTTTTTATACAAAACTGAAGAGCGAATTCTTGAGTTTATTAAATATATAGGAATGGAGACCTCAGGTTAGTTTAGCATGATGGAAAATAGCATTTGAAGATCATACTCTGGGCAATCTGAAATTGAATGCACCTAGTAGGAAACGAAAGGTCACCTGTGTGTAATAAAGACCTGGGGACTTCTATTCCCTTGGACTGCATGGCAGAGAATGAGCAAAACATCAGAACTCGCTATGATCCTATCTTAAAAGCCAAAAGGATAAGCAAAATATTTATGGCTCTGCTGACATGTCCCATTTTAGTACAAGTGGAACAACTGCAAACTCCATTTGATGAGGTTTATCAGAGGGGATAAATTGAAGTGAAATGAAATGAAAGGTGAGGCAGTACCAGGGAAGAAACAGGATAATGTACTATAGAAAATATGACCCATAATGTAGTTTGATGCGTGAAAGAGTCTGATGGCCTACACAGATCTAGATAGTTGCTCAGACTATGTCATTTCACACCTTTCTGAGGCCCTTGAGTCCCAGCTATCTTCACAGAAAGCCTATTCTCAAGTTGTCTTGAAAGAGACCTGTAAAGCTTTATACTATGCAGAGGTCAAGGCTTGACCATGTTCTGCTTGGTTTAGTCAGTCCTGGTTTAATATATGCTTTATCTTACGTCTGAGGACTCTAAATTAGCTGTTTTTTTCTGGAGCTGACATGTGGGCTTGCCTAACCAGCGGTTATTTCAGGTGTAGAGAGACACTTATCACCTCATGTCTGGAGGTTGCTTGCAGCAAGGTTGCTAAGAAGGGCTAGGGAACCTCAAGAGCAAAGCTCAGGGAATTCTCCTGTGGCCTTTGCACACATTATGCACCGAAACGCTCGCTACCCGATACAAGCTAATGTTCTGACAGTAATACACTGTGCTTAGTCAGGTGTACCTTAGAGTAGTGTGATATGTGGTAATTATGACTTTCCTAGAAAACATTTGCCGGTATAAGAGTACTGTCGTAAGCTGCAGATAACTTAGGCGCCTTGAAAACATACATCTTAGGTTTCAAATTAATTTGCAGAAGCCCATGAAGAAGCTTATCCATCTCTTAGAGTCTAAGATGTGAAGTTTCTAACCCGCTAAAACTCTGTGATTTTTAAACCTCAGCCCTCTGTGGTTTGGCTCAGCTTGGTTTCCCTGCAGATCTGACGCAGCACAGCAGTTAGGCCCAACAAATGCTGTAATTAAGTATACCTATCCTTCTCCTGTTTTATGTTTTGCACTGTAGGCAGCCTGATCCAAACATTCGGGGCTGGTAGGGCTTACAACTAAATTATTCTGAAATGATTGTGTGTTCATGTGAAGCTTTAACTCAAATTAGTTTTTCCAGAAGTACTACTTTTAGTAAAATTCTAAATACAAGACTTTCTTAGCTCTCCAGGCAAGATCTGTGCAAACTTCAGTAAAAGTTTAAATTACCCAACAACAATTAATCTTAACCCATGCAGCACAACAACCTGGGCTGCTCCAGCTCTCTGAAGTGTTGAACAGCAACTTGAAATTCCTTAAGGTTTTTTCTTGATGTCTCTTGCTATTCCCGGGAAATTTAGCCCAAGTGTTACAGAGTTTATGACCGTCTGACAACCTCAGCTCATGAATGTTTTGTAGGAATGTGCTGAGTTGTGGAGGTAGCATCAGTCAAGGTCAAGCACTGCTACTTGTGCTGCTGTGTTCAGGAGTTGGGAGTCAGGGAAATTATCTGGTGATGTCTCTCAGCTTTCCTCTTTGATTAGCAGTGATCTGAGTGGTATGGGGAAGGTGGAGGCCCAGCAGAAAGCAGGAATGTGGTAATCTGGGTTTGAGAAGAATAACTGTAGCGGAGCCTAAAACAGAAAGCTGGCAGATGTATGGGACTGAAGTCAGGAGGAAAGCGGGAGTTGATGTACAGCCCGTGATGGAGACGTAGACCTGGAGTCAGGGAGCATGGTGGGAGCAACCTGGTTGGGACAGGTATGAGGAATTGGGATGAGATGGGGCTGGAATTAGGTTAGGCTGGAGGAGTCCTGGCTGGGAGAACCGTAAGTATTAAACTGTGTTCTCCGTTTCCTCCTGGTGCCAGGCCCAGGATGAAGGTTTATGGTTTCCATCTGTTGCTTTTAGACCACTTAGGTTTTTAAATCCTCAAGGCTTTAAACACCCTCTGCGGCTAAAGTGGTTGTCAGGGAATCCAAACCTTTGCATGGTAGTTTTGGGGAAGGTCGTGATCCAGGTGGGGGATCTCACCATGGTCGGCAGGTCATGGACAAGAAAGAGGCCTCCCTTCTCAGGGAGGTGAATGGAGAGCCAATCTGCAAATCTCACGCAGGAGATGAGGTCCTGTGATCTGAAAGGAAATATTCCAGCCCTGGTGACTCATGAGCACTGACCTGATCTGAATCTGCTTAAAAAGTCTCTGACCTTGAAGTTTTCACTGTGGAATAGTTTCATGTAGAAGGTAGCAAAACTACAATACAGTTTTAGTCATACAGTCACACATCACTTTCTTCCACAGGAAGCTTCATGAAGAGCAGAGTATTTGACGGTCCTTTAGTGAAACATTCTGGTTTTATTCTTGTTTAGTTTGTAGCCCTCACAGCCCGCTCTTTACACACCATTTAAACCCAGCACCAAGCCCAGCACTGTCTCTTTCTTTGTGGGCTTTTATTTGGCTGGCATATTAACAAGCACACACATGAACTGAAAAAAGATAGAGGAATATAAAAGCCCTTATAGCACATAGACATTATATAATATATCACCTGAACAAAGTACGATTCAAGGACTACCCCAAATGCCTGCCAAAGGTGTTTACAAACATCTAGTTAGATGAAACTAAATGTTTTTTCCATGTTGGAAGATACCCTGGCAACCCTTTTCAAGCTCTGAGAGTTACTTGCAGAAGCTGCTTACCAAATGTAAAGCTGCTGTCAGCCTAACAACTGAGCGGGTTCCCTTGTGCTGCTGAGTGCTGTGGCCGTGCAGGTTCTGCAGATCTTCCACCACGTGCTGGGAAGCAAGTGGCTTCTGCAGACTGCCCGTGAACCCACCCTGTTGCCCCCACAAGGCAGCTACCAAAGGGTCAGCCCAAATATCCTGTACGCTCACTGGAAGAAAGTGATGTGCGACTGGGGAATTAAACCATGCTATGGTGCATATGGACGGATGTTCTGTAACTCTCAAGTAATTGGCTTTGTTTTCTGTATATTACAGTATTTTATTCAACATAACTGGTACCACTGGTACTTTGTGCTTTCCTAAAGCCATCTACCTGGTTTGAAAACAAACACAAAGAAAAGAAACCATTGATTGTGGTTTATTCCAATGCTCAGGTCTACATTAAAAATACAAAAGTCTCTAGCTCCAGTTTTCTGACGTTACTTGCCTGGGTCCACTGAATCAGAACCCTTTTGCACTTGATGCCTTAATTCCTGTGATCTAGTTCCCTTTCACTTCGTTCCATAAACAGATTTTGCTGTTTATCTTCATTTTTTACCATCCTTTTAAGAATGTGGGCATCAGAATTACCTGAAATATCTTAGCATCACCCTCACTGAAGCAAGAGTAGTGGAGTATATAGGAGTAAAACATGCCTGTTTCTCCATCCTCACTGTTCTCATGTTTCTAAATCCCTGTTGCTAGGATTTCATACTCAGCGACTTGCCATCCATACCTGTTTAGATCCCCTCTGCCCCCACCAAGAGATTCCAGCCTCATTCCGAAGGTTTGGGTTGATTTTTCCAGACTTTGCATCTCACTGGATGCAGATACATTTTGTTTCAGTGAGCCAGGTTTGCCAAATAATCCTGTCCTCATAATTTATTGCTCTGCTAAATCTTGGTGCAATCCATAAAATTTATCAGCAGCTGCTTTGTATTTCCTTCAAGTTCCATGGTGATAACATCTACTAGCCCTTGTCCTGAAGCATTTTGAAACATCTCTATTTGATGGTTCCTTCTAGCACATGTTTGCTGAAAAAATGTCTGTGTTTTTTTTAATCCCAATGCCTTATTCACACTATGCAGTTAGGTGCCCCATTACATGAACAATCCTGCTTTTCTCTGTAGCAATCCCATAAAATAACTATGCAACAAGAAAGAAAGCACTTCACCATTAAAAAGAAATAATCTTTTCCTTTGTTATTTCCTCATTTTGCTCACCTCGCTCGAGGGAAAGAAGTTATTGTTGGGTGGAGGTCCTCTCTACTTTTTTTTTCCCATATTCTGGCATATTCTCACTATTCCCCTCCATCATATACCTGCAGTTGCCTTGTCCTTGCTGTGAGTCTTTGAGATGAAAGTCTTTGATGATTGTGCTATTAATGAAGTTAACAGTCAACACTGTGAATAACACTGGTTAAATAAATGGAAGTGAAATACAATCTTACTGGTCAGATCTATCTAAAAGAAGCAAAAGAGAGAGTGTCCCCTGACTGCATAGCTTATGTTTTCTCAAGTATAACCATGTGTTATAGTTGGGACGATAGGTGTGAGAGTCTGTTGATTTAAAGATCAGTTCAAGATGGGAGATTGCCTTTCTGGCCATCTCTGTTCTTTCAAAATCAGGAGCAAATATCCATCTAGTCAGATGAATAACTGTCTTCTTTGTACCATAAGTCTCTTAGCCTAAAACATTAACACCTTAATCATAAACTGCTGTCTCTCTCACAGGACAAAAAGAGAGCAGAGAAGATACCACCGATGAATCATCTGTTCTTATTATCAGTCGCTTCAGTGATGACTGGATGAGTAGATAGAGCCCAGAGCTATAAGCCAACTTGGCAGCTGGCAGGTAAGTCCTTGGAAGCTCACCAAAATGCTTCCTCGAGAAGCACATCTCTGTTTTATAGATTATATTCTACAAAACTGTATCCTAGTCTATAAAGTCTCAGCTTTGGCCAATGGGATTGTGCTTAAGCATATATCTAATGTCAGTGGAACTTAAGCGTGTCCATACCTGTAGATGTGCTTAAGTAAGGATCTGAAAAAGGGTGCTTTCCTGGGTGGGGAAGAGAAAAATAGCATTTACAAGAGTGAGGCAGAGCTGAAAATTAATGGCATCATGGTGATACAGAAAGAGAAGCATTAATGTTGCGTTTTCATGAATCCCATAAAATTCCCAATGAAGTAAGTTTCCAGACAGTCTTATGACAGCTGTCTTTTAAAGAATACATTAAATTATCTTTTATGAATCTTTTTCCCACCTGTACCATCTGGCAGAAAGCTGAAAGCATTTTATTGCTTCTGGAATGGGGAAAAAAATGAATGTAACAGCGTCTCCCTTCCCCTGGTCTAACTCCCGAGATGACTTGCCTGACAGTGGTGTGCAGTGATCACGGATCTGGCAACACTTGCATTATGAAATGTCTTTATATGAACTTACTGTAACATAGTCAAAGCATTTACTTCATGGTAAAGTGTGTATATATGCACTTTAGGGATGAGGATAATCTTCATTGCGCTCATCGGCGTAAATATAAGGCTTTGGTAACACTTGTTGACAAGCTTTTAAAATACAGATTGTCATCAAATTTGGGAGGATAGAAGTATGACACAATAACATATAGAAAGAAACTTTATTGCATTCCCTTTTTAATGCAGTTTGATTACTCAGATAGGAGTATGAACGAGTAAGTTGAACAGCCTTCTGAACTTCACTCCCTGTTTAAAAATAAGCCTTCTAGCTCTTATTCTGTTTCAGTAAATTTGCCTATGAAAATAATTGTCACTAGTGCAGGTCTTGTCATCTGTTTTCACTATGAATGCTCTTAATATGATGATGCTTGAATCACTATGTTGTCACGAATATAGACCATAAAATATGTATATTTTTTATATATATATATATGTGTATGTATGTATTTTTGAAATTCTGTGGGTCTCCCGAGTAGCATGGCTTTTCTGTAGTATTAGTCCATATGCACATAAGCACATATTTATATATCCACCCTCTCAAGAAAGCTACAGTATCTTAAATGGCACTAATGTACAAACATATATATGTATTAGCAAGATAGATCAGGAGTGTAGATTGACATAACAGATGTATATGTGGATATTGCATAGGTGCAGTGCTGTAAAATGCTGTACAAACAGTTCATCTTTGTGAACTTTTGTTCGCTTCTTGCTCAAGGAAGAGAAATAATTTAACACAATATGATCAATAATGAGCCACTGTGGACATAACTCTATGTAGGTGTCCAAAAGAGTATTTACCTACTGGTCATAAAATAGTAAATTTTACCAAACAGTAATCTGATCATGCTGTATATTTGTCACCTTCTCCGTTTTGCTCTGAAATTCTTTCAGTAGCAATATGTGGTATCTTTTTTCTTTGTTCTTTGAACTTATCTTTGTCACAATTATTTATTTCATTCCTGTGATTTCAGGAAATCCAACCTTATTTGAACGCATCTTTTAAAAAGTTGTTGCAAAGAGTTGTTCTTGATGTTTTATTTTATTGCTCATATACTAGTAGTGTTAACTAGAACAGTGATAAAGAACAAAAGGAAACACAAACTAATGCGATGACAAACACCAACTCCTGCAAAACAAAACATATGTGATTTTCAGTCTATGTTGAGGACTAAGGTTAACATTGCCCCAGTGCTTCTGGTCTGAGGTTCTTTTGATAATGTTTGAACAGTTACATTTGTAAATATATTTGGAGATTTGGGGAGGGCTTCCATGAGGTTTTCATTGATGTGGTGTACCTGTAAAATTAACATTTCATTTAATATATATGTTACAGTAAAGACGATAGATTAGATTTGGTGCTATTTGTTGCTAAAATGCTGACAATATATAGGCAAGACACAAAATGCAGCTCTTACTGAACCAAATTTAGGGTCTAAACAGGCAGAAGTACACTAAGGAAGATGCTTCAGAAATTTCCAGAGAATCTGCAGTAGTGTTATTTGGAGAGAGAAGGACATTTGGCATCGCTTTTCAGTTGAAATGGTAGAGATTTTGTTGTTGTTGTTGTTCTTATTTGTATTTTAAATATAGTGAAGGTGGGAGAAAGAGGTGTTGGGGGAAAAACCATGAATGAGTAGAAGGTTTTCTGGATAGGAACGTGGATAAGAATGAACTTCTATCCTGGCAGTAATATTAGTAGATTAATATCCCTAGCTTTGTGCTACTGGTACACAGTGTAATGTTTAGGTCAAATTTTCTAGAGAATGCACTGAAGGAGAGTTTTAGGCCTCATAACTGCAAGCAGATGCTCCAAAGTGTAGAAAAATGAGCGTGGAGCTCTCAGATAACAGGCAAAGCCTGAAAAACTCGGGGAAAAAAAATGGAATCAATATATTAAAAAAAAGTGAATTGATATATTTCAAGATTATATTGTTCTGAGAGGAGAAACAAATTCTTAGGAAAGCAATTTCATCGGCATTCCCAGCACGAGGCAGAGGCTCAGCTCCCACGAAGCCCGCTCCAGAAATGACCTCATTCGTGCACCGTGCCATACGAGGCCCCTCGGGCTGGCACCCAAACCCCGAGCAGCTGCCCTGCACAGCTCCCCGTGCCCATTCCCAGCAAAAGAAAGGCTCTAGTCAGCGCCGTGAATGGTTATTCACCCGTCTGCAAAGCTGGGCAGCAAACAGGCGGCCTCGTACATTCGCCCGTGGGCAGCGCCGTGATGGGGAAACCACGGGGAATTGTGTCGATAGGAAATGTGCAAAGATTGGGCTTCTTGTTCAGCCAAAGCCTTGGGTTCCACCAGTGCCATGGGCAGAGCTCGCTTCCTCTGCGCAGCTCCAGATGCCATAGAGGACTATAAAGATTCTTATTTTGCAGGCCAAGCTTTCATTTCACATAAACAAAGAACTTCCACGGATGCACCAAAGGGAGCCTTTGGACTGCTGGAGGTCTGAGAGGAAGGGGACTCGGGCAGGATAGTGCTCTCTTCCCTCTCCTGCGTGCCAGGTGTCCTTGGAAGATTGTTTTGGGCTAAAATGTTGTGACCATTGCATTCCTGCACCTGCCTGTTGGGCCCTGGGATGTGCTAAGCAGATATGCGCACTTTAAACCAGTTTGAAAGTTTCTCTCGTTTACATTTTGAACCTAAATGGGCCGTTGTTAAGGAATAGAGAGCTATAAAGGCATCTTTGATCCCCTGCCTAGTCTGAGTGAATTAGCTAAATAGCGAATCTCTCGCCTCATTATTGTTCATCATTGGAACAGGTCCAACTGAGCCACCTAGTCATTAATACAAGGCATTGTGGAAACGGTATTGTATTCCAGCTTCAAGTTGGTTATCCAGGTTTAAGTTGGTTAAAGTGCGTAATTTAAGCACCTCCTGGATAATTCTGTTAATTTCTTCTTTTCTTCCATCATGAATCAGCATTTAGAGACGTGTCCTCCATGTGAAGTGTCTTTGGGAGGGACATGTCTGTGTTTGTGTGTGCTCCTCTTCCCCTGCCTGTCAATATCCATTTAAGGGCCTGACTTTAAAGGACAACTATGTCTTAAAATTTTTCTCAATCTCAATAAAATTCTTTATCCAATATTATTGTATGCAAACAGCCAAACAGCTGTTATTAGCCATAGTATTTTACCTGATGTAATTTGCTTTATGAGGATACAGTAGTGCCTGTTTTCATTTTCCAAATCACAATTTTGGCTCTTACTCTGAAGTATCATATATCTCTGTATTTTCCCCAATATCTAGTAATGCACTGAGAAGCATGGAAGTGTAGTGTGTGAGGCAGCAATTTCCATCAGTAATTTTTCCTGGAAAACACACTGTAAGTTAGACTTGTCTTTGAAAGTCAGAATCATCGGTCATATTATGAAGAAAACTAGCTGAAAATGTGACTTTCTGCAGAAAAGATAAAATTGTAAATTTCTCTTTATTTGATGATGCAGTTAATGCATGATTCAAATATAATCAAAGCTCAGTCTTGTTTCTACATTTGTTCTAGTGTTCTTGCCCAAACCCAAGAATATATAATGAAATAGAGGCCTGTGGATGGAAACGTGTGTACAGATATTCCATGCAGTGCCTTGCTAAAGCTTAATGGCCAAACTCATGTTGGAAGTAGAGAGATTTGCCATCCTGTGGGATGACTAGACCCCCGGATGTGACGCAGCTGGGTCTCCGCATCTAGGGGGTGAAACTGGAGCTCCGGAATTTAACAGATTTACTAGCAGTAGCCAACACCCCCAAGAAGGTCTGCCTTTAGTGAGCCACTGCGGAGGCTGAGGGTCTACTAAGATTTTAAGAGTTAATATGAAGTTAGACTCTATTAAGAGTTTATTTTCTCCAGAGCCGCACAAAGTGATCAATATGGGCAATGGGAGGTAGCCAAACATGCCTGTTAAACTGCCCATATAATATACTCTGTTCAGCTTGCTGTCCCTTTTTGCTGCTGTTAATGCCAACCTCTCATCCTGGGGATGTGCTTTGTGGAGGAGGTCACAGTCACAGTGGCATGAAAGGCTGCCCTCTAAATCCGTGAAAGAGGCGTGAGGATTTAAGTGAATTCTTCACCGAGTCTGGCATTAAATGGGTGCCCGAGGGGTTGTGGACCCTCCATCCTTGGATCTGATTAAGGCCCAGAGCAACCCGAATGAAAGGCAACTTCAGAGCTGTTTTTGCAGGGACTTGCAATAGGAAGCCTGATTGCTGTAAATGGGATTGTGTGGGTGTGGAAGTCCCAGAAGGAAGAGCAGACAAAGGGCTATAGGAATGGCTGTTGATGGCACCCAGATTAGCAGGTCACAGCACACATCTCCGTGCAGCTTCCCAGGACACCCACCTCAGGAGACCAAGGACGAGCTCCTCAT